CCGAAGCGTGATTTTGTATTTAACTTTTTTTCCCCAAAGCGGAATGTTGAGACATGACCCTGTGGGCCTTTGGTGGAGAGGAACGGCCTCGCGGCACAGAGGAGCAGGCGTGCGACCGAGAGAGGCGACCTTCCGCCTCACATCGCACCTCCTCAGGGTGCCGGAGCGCCGCCCCATCAAGCAGGGGCCAGGGGGAGTCGGGACGCTCCTGGCTGGTGGCTGGTGGCTGGCGTCGCACGTCAGATCTTGGTAATTGCAGCTTGTCACCAGGACTACAGGCCCTGGAAGAGACACGCTACGGGAGGGAGTACAGCACCTGCTGCTCCAGCGACACATGGCAGCCCTGCTAATTACCGTCTGACCAAGCTGCCTGCTGCTCTGTCAGAGCGAGATGCGTGTCTAGAACAAAGATCTGTGTCTATCCCTACACTTGACTCTCTGTGACAAATGTGCGTGCAAGAATGGACACCAAAAAGTGTAAACCTGGAAAAAATATCTTAAATATAATGGAAGTAGCTTCTTTCGGTTTTGTGTGTTACAAACTACCATGGGTGTGAATCATGGGGGGGGGGGGCGATCCCCCAATAATCAAAACCAGTCAACACAAACTCCTGGACCCCCTTAAATGAGTGGAGACCACAACCCCTCCAAAGCTCAACCCAGAGTCTATTTGTCGCATGCTTTATACCATTCCATCCGGTGCTTAGCATTGCACTCGGTGACGTGAGGCTTGCATGCAGCTGCTTGGCCGCGGAAGTCGAGTCCATGAAGTGAGACTGCTGGGGTTAATGTCAAAGGAAGTCTGGAACTCTGCATTTATTGAATCATCAGAACGTTGGCAGCTTTTACTCACTATGTACTTCTGCAATTGGCGAACCCGGTATGTTACTTTACGAGGTATTTTACGAGTTTCTGTTGTTCTTAAACGCTTCCACTTAGCAATAATGCTTGGAAGCATCCTAGCAGCCTAGCTTGGAAGAAATTTCACAACCTGACTTACTGCAAAGGTGGCATCTTGTGACAGCACCACACCTGAATACACTGAGCTCTTCAGAATGACCCATTCTTTCACAAATGTTTGTAAACCTGACTGCATAGCTAGGTGCTTGATTTTATACACCTGTGGCTATGGGTCTGAACGAAACCCCTGAATTGAATGATGAAGAGGTGTGTGCCAATGCCTCCCTTCAGCTCCACATCGCTGGACAGCAGTGGGAAGAAAGCGCACGACACAAATATAGCAGCCATTCAAGAGAATCACCAAGCGTCCATAAATCCTGCATACAGGAGAACAGGGGGGCTGTGATACGCCAGAGGATCGAACTCTGTCTGCTGACCAGATTCCACAGAGGCTGACTGCCCCATGGAGACCGTCACCCCTCCCCTCGGAAAGCTCCCTTCCGGCAGTGTTGCCCTCAGTGGAGGAGCTGATCTCATCCGTTTGTTTTCCTGTTCCACAGCCGTCTCCCTGTGCAGCCCCCCCCCCCCTTCCTTAACCCCCTATAACGCAGCCCTCAGGCTCTCAGAAACTCCCCAGATTCACATTCACTGCCTGCCTATAACGATACAAACACAGGATAAGTGATTCAAATTATAGAAATACAAGACGAACATTTTCTGTTGAATCAGTAACTTTAAAATACAGACAAGGAAACCTAATATTGGAAACCCTTTTTAAAACACCTATTGAAAATAAAGAATAATACAAAAAAATCTAAATAAATTACGGAAAAGTGCTGTTAAGTGCTATTAAGTATGTGTGGACCTGCTGGAAGATGTTCCACTAGGCTAAATACTGCAAATTGTGTTATTACCAGTTTTGATTGCTAATTTCCCCATGAAATGGTAAGGCCTACTTCAGTTCCCACCGCGGGGAAATTAAATGAATATATTACATATGAGAAAAAGGTTATGAAGACACACAAAGCAGCATGTGGGTGTTGAAAAGCCCCCCTAAAATAAATGCAGCTGTCATTATAATTATCAGCCTGAAGAAGATGTCAGGAAGCCAGGGTCGATACACGTCAATAGAAGATGCGGTAACCGCCCACCACCACCGACAAGTTGCAAATCTATACATAAATCGGTCTTGCTGATCTAGATCATGGACAGTGATTCAACGCTGGTGTTCTGCTGTAAAGCATAGGTTCACACCTGTAGATCTTCTGGAACGGATATGAAGGAACGTGGTCATAGATGACCAATCTTGCAGTTTTTCTTTTTTTTGACAAACCACCGTAAAACCCGGTGCGCCAGAACTCCTCTATGCAAGTGGCAATCGCTTTTGTTTTTGCTCCTCCAAAGCCGCTTTGCTGCCTTACAGCGTAAAATATCAAGGGTTTCCCCAGCTAAGCAGGACTGCAGTGCTGCAGATGGGGCTACAGTATGTGTGCGTGAGTAAAGGACCCGGGCTTCCCCTCTGCCTTAAAGGCCCACTGGGCCTGAAAGTGAGATCAACGCGCCAAGGTTAAACCGGCTAACGAGCGGCATTTACCATCCCTTTAAAACGACAAGGCAGAGCGAATGAACCGCAGTGAGCTGTCATGGATAAAGCACAGGGTTAAAATCACCGTTTGGCCAATGGAGAAGCAGCCATTCGGGGAAAACCCTGGGACTGAGTGGGATAAATGGAGCAGTTACTCATGCTCACTGCCTTGCAGTGCAAAATTATATATATGTATATTGTATATAAATATATATAAGTGTGTGTGTGTGTCTGGCTTAGGCTGAACTTACATTGTGGGGACCAAATGACCCCACAATGTAAAAACGGAAAAATGCCAAAAGTCTCGCGTTTTGTTTGGTTACTTATGGTTAAGGTTAGGGCTGGGTAGGGGTAAAGGTTGTCATGTTGGGAGTAGAGTTGTCCCCATAGAAAAGAATGGAAAGATATAATTACAAAGCTTTCTGTGTGTGTGTATGTGATGTAACTCTGGTGTTTTATACACACACACAAACACACACACACACACACACACACACACACACACACACACACATAATGTTTGTATAATAGCAGTAAATCATTACACTTTAGAAGAGCAAATTGCTATGTGATGCTGGAGAAGATCTTCAAAACTGAACAAGCATAGGTCACTAGCAGCGGCTGTATATTTTTTTAGCAATCAATGAATTGTACAGGGAAAATACAGCGTTTCTAGGTCCATGCTCTGGCAAATATAAATTTTACTATTTGCGATCGTGTCGTTATTCATACTTATACAATAAAAATAAATACGAGCTGTATTATATATGTCTTGAGTATGTTGTGTTTCAAAGATATAAGCCCCTTAAACATCCATACCTTGGAGGTTGGGATTCTGATACAGTGTAACGCCCTGCTGTGTTTTACAGCAAAGCGACTGCGTACCGCCGTGAGCCCGGCAGCAGGCGTGGTGACAGAAAAGAGGATGAAGCCACCGCGCGATGCTAATGCCATTTCCTGCAGCACTTGAGGCCTGACTTTGGGTCAGTCTGAAGTAATGAGAGCAGGTGTTAAGTAAATCGCTGTGTCGTCCATCGGCCGGTGATACATCATCATTGGGGATGACAGGGATCCCACGGGTGGCTGGGAAGAGCTGGTTACATGGCGAAATCCCAGATTTAAACAGAAGCCCCTTCAATTACCCCGTAGACAGAACTGGGAATGCTCAGCTCCACGGGCCTCATCGCACTGGGGATTTAATGCCGTCTTCCCATGTACAGATGCAGATCTGTGTTGGATCCAGCAGAAGAATCCATGCAAACATGTTTCTTTAGTCTGCAATTTAGAGATGCCTTAAAATGCAAATCTGAGATGCATAAAACATTCCTGAAATGCTGTACGTGTTAATTAAATTTAACCTCAATGTTCGCAATGTGTCAGGTGCATGGCTGATGTGTTAGATCAGTTAAGCGTGCAGGAAAAATACAAGTGGCTTGATTTATGCGCTGCTTGTCAGTGCAGGAAGGTTAGTCATAATTTTATGAGGTCTGTATCTTCCACACTTGATCTCTCCCTTCATCTCAGGGCAGCAATCATGAGAATGAACTTATGAGATGCGACCAAGGGTGAATAAGGGATTTCTGGAGCCTGCCAGCTCTACATGAGCCTTAAGATAATGAAAAGCCCAGCAGGACTGTAGCTGTCCATGGTCATTTCTCAGGCACGTGTGCAGTGGTAAGGTGGAGACTGACAGTCACAAACAGCACTGGCTCACTGGGCGATTAGTGCGACCCGGACGTACCAGCAGACTGGGGGCCGCAAGGCCTTAGCCTGATAAATGAATCCAACCGGCTACAACAGCAACAGACCTCCATTAAATAAAATCCCACCCATTGCCTCCTAAACTCAATAGGGAAAAAAAATACCGTACTTCAACAACTCCTTTAAAGTCAGAGGTGGTGCCATTGAACCTCGATGATGCATTCGGTCTCAGGCCCTTCAAAAGCAAGCAGGCCATCTCTAAATCTTTTGGATGACACCCAAGAAAAGCTACTTTTATGAAAAGTGGGCTGGCAGAATTAACACGAAAAAGAACTGTCCATACTGGTGTGCGATTAGGTTGTTTTTTTTTTAGATGGATCCAACAATAAATTTGCAACAATAAAGTATACATCTTCCAAGCATCCAATATCCATGGTACAAAGAATATCCAAATTGCTTTTCTATATTGAGTTGCAGTATCTGCTTTCTATTTCATTTTTTTTGGAGTGTGAACACCAATTAGCAGAGTACCCTGATTTGTAACTAGGGTAGGGGGTGGGGAGGGTACCAATCAGTGTAATGGAGGCACTATTTTGCATGATGTGCCTTGTTAAGATTGTCATTCACAGTGACTAATATATCTTGTGCTTTCCGGTTTAGTGAAGGTGTTTATATATATAAATCCTGTTCAAAGGTAGAAGCAGCAATTGGCTGATATAAAGCCTGTCTGGTGATATGTCTATAACACATTTAGGCCACGTGCTGAGTGCGCTCCTCTGAAACCTGCTCTCCGACTCAGAGGTGCCAGACCTACCTCCCGAATGCGCCGGGGGGCCACAGAGCAGCACCACCCCCTGTCCCTCGCGCACCAACACTGAGCTCCGCCTCTGCGTCTTGAAGTTTTCCAAGTCTGAGGGAAAGACGTGGAAGACAGAGTTAACGTCACGGTGCCATTTCTTGGGCAAGAGGGAAAAAAAAAGGAAACAACAATGATTGGAGGATTCTTATGCCGTTAGCTACGTGTGAAGAGAGGAAAGGGAATGGTGAGCAGAGGATTACAGCAAAAGGGAAAGTCAGTGCCGAGGAATCCACTGCACATACACACACACACACACACACACACACACACAGGAAATGAGTATCAGGCCCCTCAGCCAATTAACTACACCGCTGGCGTTCCGCATGCCTTGTTGGTGTCTTTTTAAATAATCAAGTAAATAATAGAGAGGATAAATCACATGCTGCTCTAGCCATTGTGGTGATATAAAACATAAAAGTTTTAAGAACACAGTTATTCTGGATCCTTTAATACAAACACTGGAAAAGTTCTTAAATCAACCCAACACTCCCCGGTCCCCTGTGAGCAAAGTACATTATTATCAAGCTTCTGTTTTTTTCCCCACTTCTTATAACTGAAGTTATTTCCCAGTAGATCAGTACTGTTGACAGGATAAATTGCTAGTAAAAAGAACAGAAAGGTAGGTAATATTACTCATATTTTTAACATACAACTTTGTTATTCAATAATATAATTACGTTCATGCATAGATTCCCCCATTTCATAGACAGAACTTAGACAAACACACATACATGAACACACTCAAATACATAAACTTCAGAGATTAACAAATAAACCTTCAACTATTGTAAATTGCTAAATCTCTCTGCATATTGTAGCTGCCGTTTCTCCTGCTTTAAGTGCAGGCATACATGTGATGTTACAGAGACTCGCTTACAATGAGAAGCGGCAGCAGGCCTGTGGAAGAACGTGCTGAGACAGACATTACTGTAAAATACAGCCTCATGTTTCTGTTGCGATGGTGCCCACCTACTGTATGGAGAAAAGCTCTTAATTAGACCTCTTTGTCTTCAACAGCCCACTGCAATTGTCACTGGCAACTGTTATTTAGTCTCAGATAATCATTTCCCGCTGAAGAATGAACTTTTTCTCCTCAGATCTCATTTTAGAGGATGGAGGACTTGGGTTTGAAAGAATTGTCCATTAAATGTTAAATGTGGCAGAAAGCCCTGTGACGCCAGACAGCGTGTCGCAACAAATTGAAATAAAATTGCCCATTAATCACATTACAGTTATAGTTTAATCATTTGGCTGAATATTACTTAAGTACAGCATAGTTCAATTTTCTTATTTTTGTTTTTGTCCTTCTTATGGTTAGCTGAATCTAATAAATTACAAATTGCTTGAAGATAAATTACAATCATTAATAGTACAGTGGGAAGCCTATAAATCCTCTTAACTCAGAGACAATGGATGTGGAAGAATTGAACTGAAGGCAGAAAAGCATTTAATTATATTTAATCTTATTGAGTCACCTCTGACAGTCACTTAAAAAAATGTGAAGGAAACAGTGCAGCACTGTAGCAGTAATGATTGTATTTGGAATTGTACAGCAATTATCTAACATCTAACATATCTATATATCTTTTATATTCGATTGAATGTGTAATATATATTTCTCTGTAGGCTGAAATAGATCTGCTAATATTTCTGTTAAAATACGATTATGTACATAGTATAGGTTCCCGCATCCCAACATTATTCTGCCTTGTCTTCAGTCCTGTCCTGCCCTTAAACAGACCCAGGGCACTGCCAGTTTGCCCCCAGCAGGATGCATCTCCCTCCTGAGCTGATGAAGGAGAAGCAGGTAGGCTTGGCCACTCCAGCCAGCAGTTGCTGAAGTTTTCTCTATGAAAAGCGACATGTATTTGAACACCAACCAAATGCAGAACCACCTAGATTTATACTTCTGCGCAGAATCCACTCTGTCAGTAGCCACGTAACCTCAGCCATAGCCTCACGCCTGTAGTTATAGGTCTTGGGAGGTTTGACTCAGGCTAGGGTGTAGAGTATGTGTGTGGCAGGCTACACGTCTACACTGTACTGACGGCGTAGATTCTACACACACCGGTCACAGACAGGGGGGTCTACACACGCCGGCCTGCACATACTGTACAAGCGCAACATTCCCGTTATTCCTGGGTTCCTCTCGTATTTCTTGTCCTTCTCCCGGAGCTCTCCTGTTTTGCTGTTTCTCCCAGGAAACTCGTGTCATTTGCACGGCCCTCAAACTTTATTATGAATAATTGTCATACACGGATCCATAAGTTTTGTTTGTTTGTCTGATATTACTTAAGTTGCCAGATTGTTCAAAAAGCACAATTTAGACACACACCCTACATACAATTTCAACCCAGCTGTCATCACAGCCTGGCAACGCACATGGAAACTACATGGATATTTCAATTCAATATGTAAAAATGAAGTTAATTGTAGCCATGGGCTTAAAGTGTGGGGGGAAAGGGGGAGTTGTAACCCAATAATCAAAACTAGCTAATACAATCCCCTAATATTCAATCCCAATGATCTCCCCCTAAATGGGTGGAGACCTCAAGCCCTCGCCAATGTTCAAACCAAAGTTACGCCCTTGTAGGAATAAAATGTCAATAACATTCGATAGCATAAATGTCAAACTCAAGGCCCCGGGGCACATCTGGTGCACAGCACAATTCATTACGACCAGCGAAATGATTTTGATATTCTGCTAAAACTGGCCCAGGAATAGGGGTGTAATGGTACACAAAACATTTCAGTACACGGTTTGGGTTCACGGTTCAGTGCAATGTCGGTACAGCAAGGAATAGTTAATTTGTTTTGAAATTAGTTATTATCAAAAATACGAAACAATTAAGAACAATTGTGAACCAAAGACAATGTGTCTGTTGACGTGTCTGAATAACAAAACCTTGTTTGCACACTGTAAAAAGAAATACGTAAAATAAAAATTCAAAAATGATACTAAATAATCATAATTAACGAAATACCGTGTTCTCTACTACTTAGTACGGTCAAATATCTGAATTGATGGACAACCCTAGAGCCTTAGCTTGTGTTCTTTAGCCAGGTCTGAATTTCCTGTGAAAAGACTCTTACAGTAAATTCCAACTCGCAGGGGCTGTTCTTGCCTTGCTCTGCTACTACACACACTTAGAGGATGTTGTCCCAAATGAGTTAGCAAGCTGGATGCGATTCCAGAAACATATCCAAGTTCGGTATAACAGAACCGTATCAGCTACTCTCTCTCCAAGTTTTGGTGCAATTTATATGGAAACAAAAAAGTTCCCAAACTGCCGATTATGACTAATTGAAATCAGCTTTAGCGGTAATCAATTCACAGCAATTAGCATAATTTTTTCTGTGTTGAAAATCTACTTGTGAATTTAGGTTCCACCCATGACAACAAATGTATTCATTCATTTCACGAAATGATGCAAGTGAATGGTACACACTTAATACGTGTACCACTACAGCCTAATCCGGGAAGTAGGGATCGTGCAAGCGTACCCACATCACACCTTTCCTCTTCCATGCCCTCCCCACCGCTGACAAGCTCAACAGCAGCAAATATAAATTTTCCAAAACAATGTAGTTGTAATCTGGTTGTTCTGATTTCCTGGGACTAAACTCAGAGTCTATTTCTCATTTAAAACAGGGATCCTGTGGATGATGACTTATAAAAGCAGATGAATAATAGCACAGTGGACAGATTCGATTTAATGTTGGTTTTGTATATTATTGTTTAAATTTATTTAAAAAGAGATTTTTCAGGAATAATGTCTACTACAGAGTTCACATTTGTAAATGTTATTTCAATATAGTACTGATACTGATTTTAACCAAATAACTGCCCAACAAATAAGAAAGTTTGGGTCATTCTGTTATTAACTAAATAAATAAGCCTTGGATTGCCCACAAATTCATTGGTGGCTCATAAGACAGATCTTTTAGTGAGTGAGTTTGACACCACTGGGTTATATTGTCTTCCTGGACAAAAAGACGAAAAATCTGTATGTTTAGTCGGAATGGAGAAATGACAAAAGTTTACAAAAATCCCTCAATAGACCTGTATTTCAAAGAAGAGAGAAACACTCTTTTATATTCATTATAGATTGGACAGAAATTTAGGTTTGTTTTTACTTGGCTGCATTACACAATGAACAAAGCAAAGAAGAAGCCATATTCAATAAGCTGAGGATTTATACAAGTCATCCTGCATTTCCAAAGAAAAAGGCGGATGGAATGGATAAAAGAGGCACTCAGGAGCATTCTAATTTCCATGTGTTTTATTCATTCCTTTCTCCCCTCTGAAAAACTGCACAAAACCATTCTGTGATGGCTTAAAAACTGAAATTGCCTTTATGGATGAACTACTCTGCAGCCGGCGACCGCCAGGGGAGCCTAACGAGACGGAACGTCTTCCTGGATTCCCTCAGCGCCACGGATCTGCGAGAAGGCCACACCAAGCGTGCCCCCAGAGCCTCTCGGATGATGGTTCCAGATCATCCTGGGAGCAGGAGAGTAAACAGAGGAGCTGGGAGATCTGGCTCCACTTCGGAGCCGGAAAACCGGCAATTAAATGAAAAACAATGTGTTGCTCCAGAGATGAAAGGAGCGAGGGATGCAAAGTGATAAATGAGTTTGGAGCTGGAGGACACATGGGGGGAGGTGGTGTATCACCAAGCAGAGAGCAGAGAGAATAGCAGTGAGGGGATACAGGCCCGTTCAAAAACAGTCTGTTCCTCTTTTACAATACGGCCATTTCACTGGTTACCTTACATTAGCCATTTAACTACTTTAAGTTGTACAGTTTCTCAGAAAACACTTAAAAACCTTTGGACCTTGTGTAGCTCTGTATTTCGTCAATATATATGGCTAGAAAACAACTTAATATGCTCAGTCTAAAAGATACACAAGGGACTCTCCAGAAACTGCAACTCCAACTACTGAAACTGCTAGTTCATCAATAAAATTATACAGCGTACTAATTTAAACAAATTTAGAACAATATATACCACATGAGCACATATACAAAGATACTGATGCACACATCA